TTAAAAAAACTTAATAAATACAAAAAAAGTTCTTAAAACCTAGTGTTACCCCCCCTTGCCTTGATAACGGCTTCCATGCGATCTTTCATGGACCTTACAAGGGTCGCAACACCTCTTGGGGTATTTGTTCCCACTCTTCAAGTACCGCATCTTGGAGCTCTTGAAGAGTGGTTGGAGCTGGATCTCGAGCCCGCACGCGCCGTTTTAGGTCATCCCAGAGATGTTCTATTGGGTTCAGGTCTGGACTTCGCGCTGGCCAATGCATAACAGGGAAATCGACCTCCTGTAAATAATCCCGTACAATAGCCGCGGTGTGGCAACGAGCATTATCATGCATTAACATGAATCCATCACCGCCATAACCAGCATACGGGACCACATGTTCCTCCAGGATTTCAGTAATGTACCGACCAGCATTTAATGACCCTTGCCCACGGCCACCCCGAGTCCGGGAAACGCACACAAGTTCCGTTTTCCCGTCGACGGAAAAGCCGCCCCAAAACATACACGAGCCACCCCCGTATTCGACGGATTCTTCGAAGCAGGGTTGTGTGAACCACTCCCCCTGACTTCTATAGACCCTTCTACGTCTGTCATTGCAGAAGAGACAGACCCTCGTCTCATCAGAGAAGAGTACGGTCCGCCACTGTTCTAGAGTCCACTCGCAATGATTGCGAGCAAACTCTAGGCGATCTCTGCGATGCTGTGCAGTAAGTTTTGGATCTTTAGCAGGTCTATCGGCTGTTAAACTCTTTTCGTGTGAACTTCTGCTTATCGTAGAAACACTCACAGATGTTCTCCGAGTTGATCGAAGCTGTTGTTTCAACTCAACAGCATTTGTAAAACAGTTTCGTAAAGATGTCATAACGATGAAACGGTCATCTCTTTCTGATGTGCATCGTCTTCTTCCAGATCCCGGTTTTCTAACATAACCACCAGTCTGCTGAAAACGTTGGAACACCCGTCGAACTGAAAAACGGGACAGGTTCAACTGTCGAGCAACCTCACACTGCCGCATCCCCGACTGCAATAGGGCAATCACTTGAGCGGCTTCTTCAGAGCTGGTGTCCATCTTTACTTGTTCTTACTTGGGTTACTTGTTCACGTGTGTTCACTGCAAAGTCTAAATTACGAGTGACCCATATTTCATCCAGATCGACCCTTTTATACCCTTTTTAGGTGGTGTAACTAGCGTCCTTACTAACGAGCATTTGACAGTGTTTATTGTTGACGCTCTATAATGATAAATGTTTTAATGATTTCATGATTTTTTATTAATAATGTAAAGCTATTCAAATACCCATTTCAAACATACCAATATTTATATAAATATAATTCGTTTCTAGCCATTACAGCCATTTTTCGCGCAAACTCAGAGAGGTGCGATTTTTGTGACGCTGAGTGTATTACAATTATCTAGTCTTTCAATGTAAATTAATTGCCTGTTTATTTGTTATTATAGAAATAAAGATACTTAAGGAATTTCTTTTGCACTTGTTCCAACCTATTTATATGTGTTTGATAATATGGATTCCAGACAGAAGAACAATATTCAAGATTACTGAGATAAAAAAGTTAAAAAGAATTACTTTGGATCTTTTATTTTTAAAAGTTTTAATCACCCGTTTAATTAATCCTAAAAATTTCAATGAATTTTTTATAACTTAATCCATATGTGTAGTGAAACTTAATTTACAATCAATTAATTAAAAATACCTAAATCACGAATAACATTTGCCTTTTCCATGACGATATCGTTAATATTATATTCATTATAAATCGGATAGATTTTTTTATTTAAAGATATTTAGTAACATTTTTCACGATAAACGTTTACATTATTAGGCTCGCACCAGGAGACTAACCTATTAATATCATTTTGTAGTAAGTTTCCATCATTAACAGTATTTATTTCTTCATAAAATTTTAAATCATCTGCAAAGAGAAGTACATCACTGTTCAGGAAACAATTTACTACATCATTTATAAAAGTGTTGAATAGGGGTGGCCCCAAGTGTGAGCCCTGTGGCACACCTGAATATGCCAAAAATGCCTCAGATTGATATCCATTTATTACAACCTTAAGTTTTCTGTTGTGTAAGTAAGAAAACAACCATTTTAGAAAGGCATTCATGAATGTGATTGGATAAATTGTTGAGACTCTATACTCGAGATGGATGCACTATATACATTCTTATGTAAGTTTATTCGGAACCCTTACTTTGTCCGGTTTTTATTATTTTGGGAGTTGTTGTCAGGAAGATGCTGCTGTCCATCTCCTGTTTCAGATTCGCTCTGTCCCTTTTTACGACATCTGCAGGATGGTATGGTAGTATTGATTCTCCCACGGCACCACTACACTGGCTTTTTCTCTTAATTAATAAAAGAATTTGGTTTCAGTCAATACCAAAACCGCATGAGGCTAGATATAAGATTCAATTCACTCCAATTAGTCATATAGATATCAGGCCAGTAGAGTGTGATATAGAAAATGATTGTCAGAACGAAATGTTTAGCCTTGAATCTGAAGTTAAAGAAGAGAATTTCGAAGTTGAGAATTCCAAATTTGAAGTAAATGGGAATCATGAAACAGGTAAGATATGCACATTTTGTGATATTATTAAAATAAGCTACAAGTTACCTAATGGCAAGTGGTTACTGTAGTAGTCCATGGACACAAAATAATATTATAGTGACATATTGGCGCGGATTAGGTGTGTTCCAGACGGGTACCAATTTACTCGACAAGGCGCCTTTAACGCAAACATTACGCATTCTTAATAGAATGGCTGAAGGCAGTGACCTATTCTTTTGCACCTTGGGTGAATTCACTAGGGTAGGATTGCTTACAATTTGTTACAATTAATGTCCACATTTTTGTTATGCATGAAAAGAACTACACTGTCGCATGAGGTTATTCCTGTCATGATAGTTGTTAGTTTAAATTAATAAATAATTGTCAATGTAAAATAATGAGCTTCTTTTCTGACTTTTTTTTACTTATGCATTAATATATTTTAAAAGTATTTTGACCCTGTATAAATGCAGCCAGTATATACTTACAACTGGTAAGCAACCTGTCTTTGCAAATTTCTTTAGGAATGCCGCAAAGCACGGGCCTTAGCCACCTGCATCCATCGACTTCCTGCATGTCTTACCAGGTCGTTACTCCATCTAGTGGGGGGCCGCCCTACACTACGTCTACCGGTACGATGTTGCCACTCGAAAACCTCTCTTCCTCATCGGTTATCAGTTCTTCGGCCCATTGGCACTTTAGCTTAATATTACACTTAGCTTATGAAACATGCAGTATGGTAATGAAAATGGGTGGCTCAGGCCCATAAGCTTTGTGGTGGACTGTAATGATCTAGTCGCTTGAAAAAAAATATCAATTATTATTTTATATATTGGGTCAGAATCTGTTTCATTCTAGAGAGTGCTGAAAAACAAGAAGATTTGGAGATTGATGCTTTTGAAGATAGACATACAGATTTGGAGGACGACTTACCGCTAATTGCATTTGGTTCAAAGAGTAAAAAAGATGACGATGACACAGGTAAATTAATTTATGTTAAAAAACCTTTATCAAAAAATAAAAAGAAATCACCACAAAGGAGATGTATGAAATTGCGTGCTTGACATCTTTTCTAACAGTCATACAAAAATATTGAGGTAATAAAATGATAAATTATTTTATGCTCTAGCAAAAACGAAATGTTTTTAAATATCTTTCTCTAATTTTGTCTATGGCCATAGATAATAAAGGCTATTTTTAGAATAAAAAGACTTCCTTATTAAAAAAATATATTAATATTGAAACATTGACGGGAATCTGTAGTGATTAATATGGAATTGATTAAATAAAGTAATATATTTAGAAAATAATTGAATAGGCTATGTCATTAAACTAAAAAATATTTGAATATTAACGACTGAATAGGCTGTATGGTCATTGACCATTGCATATTCCGAAGGAGACTTAACTTGGTAACTTCGAGTTTCAGCTTGTCATGCGGCATGCTCATTTGTCATTGTAGCCGTTTTTTTTTGGATAGATTTCGTGTTTTTACTTTCGTGGATTTATTTAACTTGACTCTTGGATTTTCTCTCGGATCACAGGACAGTACTTTTTTGCGCCCACATAATGAAAATAATGATGTAATAAGTTTTGAGAGGAATAGAACAGACAATGTACAGCCTCCGTCTGTTATTTCAGATGATATTTTACTGATAATTGCAGAGAATAGTTAAACAATTAAAAAGGTTGACTTTTATTTTACTTTATTTAATAATAACTACAAAACTGTATTCTTTTGTGTACTTTTCAATTTATTCAAACAACTTATCAGTCAATGCTTTTGCTTTAGCAAAAACGAAAAGTATAAAATACAAGATAATAAAATTACAGTAGTCTTAATTATCTAGTATACAATTATAAACTATGATCTTATCACACCAACTAAGCTGGAATGTACAGACAAGGGTGTATAGTTCTATGGTCCTCACACTGGGCAGGTTATTTTATATCGCAATGTTAAGGACGGAGTTGTACACTTGAGTTCTCACGAATTGCCGTAATCGTTTGCGTAAATAGTACGCACATATTATAGAGTTAACAAATGGATTCATTATTCTTCGTAATTGTACACGTCTAACAAAGCTTGCCGTCAGTTACGCACTAAACGCTTGGCCTCGACCGACGATCAGGACGTACCGTCAGCGCGTACGGTACGTGCTAACCGTCGGTCGAGCACTAAATCCAGCCTTAAGGTGTCTTGCAATAAAGATGCAATAACTTACAATAAATAAAAAAATTAACTTCGACAAATCATTTTTCAGAAACTTCTGAGAAGAAGATTAAATCAAATTCTACTGATTGTAACATAAACGATGTTCGTGAAGAAAACCTCGATTTTGAAGGCCCTACTATTAAATCAAACCCTAAAGTAAAAAAAGATTATCAAGCAATTTATAAAACAGGAAAGCATCCTGCAAAGATAATGAAAACGAAAATTTTGAAACAAAAGAATGTAAATATACTTAAGAAAAAAACATCTGGGACATCAACTGAATACATTTTTGAATGTGATGGTTGTAGTAAAAAATTTTCAACAAAAGACATTCTCGCCAAACACATTTCATACAGTCATAAGACGCAAAACAACTCAGACACCACTGCAGTTCGGACACAAGTAGAACAAACTGCAGTGCCACAACAAACAGAAATATTTAATTGTGATATTTGCGAATTTAAAACATCTCATAAACGTTACATATTGGCACATCTTAAAGCGCACGTCGCTAAACAAATGTACTGTTGTAATAATTGTGAATATAAATGTATTAGAAAAGGTGAGTTGCAAACACATATGAAAATACATACCGGAGAAAAACCTTTTTCGTGTAATATCTGTGAATATAAATGTATTAGAAAATGTGCGTTGCAAGCACATATGAAAATACACACCGGTGAAAAACCTTTTTCGTGTAATATCTGTGAATATAGATTTATTAGAAAATGTGATTTGCAAACACATATGAAAATACATACTGGAGAAAAATCTTTTTCATGTAATGTCTGTGAATACAGATCTATTACAAAAGGTAATTTGCATAAACATATGAAAATACACACTGGTGAAAAACCGTTTTCGTGTAATATCTGTGTATATAGATGTATTACAAGAAGTCGTTTGCAAACACATATGAAAATACATACTGGAGAAAAACCTTTTTCGTGTAATATCTGTGAACATAGATTTATCAGAAAATGTGATTTGCAAATACATATGAAAATACACACCGGTGAAAAACCTTTTTCGTGTAATATCTGTGAACATAGATTTATCAGAAAATATGATTTGCAAACCCATATGAAAATACACACTGGTGAAAAACCTTTTTCGTGTAATATCTGTGAATATAGATGTATTACAAAAAGTCGTTTGCAAACACATTTAAAAACGCACACTGGAGCAAAACCTTTTTCGTAAGCTATCTGTCAAAATAATAATACTATTGACAATATTTCAAAGTGGGCGTCATATACGAGTAATAATTTATGCATTAACGTAGAAAAGACATGTTATATTCAATTTAGTAATTATGGAACATTGATTAATATTCTTATTATATATTGCAATGGACAATCTGTTATTGAAATTACTGAAACAAAATTTCTGGGAATATTATTGGACAAACATGTGAACTGGAAAGCCCAGGTTGAAAAGGTCTGTTCTAAAATAAACAGTTACATTTTTCTACTTAGCAGCCTGAGAAGAATTACATCTTGATTTCTTATATTTACACGAACACTACACATTTAAATAAAACTAATTTTACGGATTTTATCACGTATATTTTATATTAAAATTAATAATTTTTCATCTGGAGGTAGCCGTGGTTAACTATGACATTGGGCTTCATACACTTCAGTGTATGAAGCCCAATGTCATAGCCCCCCCCCCTCCCCCATTAGTTTTATTTAAAAGAATTACATTTCATAAAACTTTAATAACGGCGTACTATGCATACATTTATTCTGCACTTGATTATGGTCTTTTACTTTGGGGTAACAGTACAGATGCTGTTAAGTCCTTTACAGCCCAAAAGAAATGTATTCGAGCTATGCATGGCACGAGATTCATCGTGTAAACCGTATTTTAAAAAACTTATACATTTTAATGCTGCCATGTATGTACATCTTAAAGGAGTCAATCGTTTTTGGGCCCACTAGAAATTACTTAATTAATATACAAAAAAAAAAACATACCAATTTATTATTGTAAATAGCATAAAGATTATATGAAAATCTAAATGGAATCAAGAAATCAGAAAAAAAGAATTGATTTGATATTTGTGTTCAGGTCATTGGTTCTGCTAATGTAATATTAAAAAAAATGTAGTAGAGATGTGCTAATTCGGAAGAAACTCGACGCGAGTTGACTTGAGTCGAATAGTACTCGAGTTACGCAACTCGAATTGGCGGAACGAAGCTGTATCAGTTTGTTACAAATTATTTTTATATTGTCTTCTTCCATCCAACATAATTGTTATTACTAAACTTCATTATACGTGGTAGAGCCATGCTGCAGCTATATTAATAGCATAGTTGTAGCACGAATGGGTCGGCATAGCAGCTCAATACTGCTGTGTTTCGTATGGTGAGTGTAGAGAACCAGAGACCCTTTTTACTGGAGACGAGGCATTCCATCTTAGTCCTCAAGGGTGGCAACGCTTCTGCATTTTGATTCGCAAACGAGGATTGATGTAGATGTCTATGGGCCACAGCAACCACTTACCATCAGGTGGACTGTGTGCTCGTTTGTCACCCTATACTATAAAAAAAAGTAGTTATATATTTTTGGTTTGCGTATAGACAATCTTCATAAAATAATATCACTAACTTTATGACAATTATACTTAATCAGTTTATTGATATTACATAATATATCAATAAATTGTTCGAATTAATAAGTCGAGTTAATCACTAAATTTTAGACAGACACTGCATTGACCGTAAGATAAAGATGCGACTCGAGTAGAATTTTGTGACTCGAGTAACGCGAGTAATTTATCATATCACTCTAGTTGTACTTGAGTTTTTGAACTATTCGACCTGACTATTTACAATCCCTGCATCGATTGAAGTATATCACTCGAGTTGAGAGTAGCGATTACTTTAGTTAAAGCGTTTTTAAATACCTTTAAGGTACCTTTATTAAAAATGTAAAATGTGGAAATCTGAAATAAAAAACAAATATTTATTTATTTGTAGTATCTCCATGCTTCTTTTTCATAACTGTAGTATTTCAAAATCTATAAACTGCTTTTTACATTTGCATTACATTGCATATTACAAATCGCTTCCATCTCGATATTTTTTAAATAATGCCACACTGACGATTTTTGTTTTGTTGCGTCATTGTTATCACTGACACTTTAAACAAACAAGTATGTCTAAATAATAGTTATGCATCCCGGTATTCATCAGAGAGCATCACAATTCGAGCGTAATAATTACATAGCATAATAATCAACGCCCACGCAGATTGCTGAATTGCAATACAATAATTGATGAAACTGCACTCCAGCTCGCAATTTGCCGCGTCTTCTTCTTTAATAGCCTCCTGCAATCTTCTTATTTGGTCTGCGTAGTCGAGAGTATTAACCCGAAATAATGGCTCCCTTTTCCAATTATTCCACCATAATTATTCCTTCAGCGTCCCAAAAATGGACGCCATAACTTTCCCGCCAAACTTGACGCTTTGGATTTCTTTGGCGTCGGGAAGAGGCTCGGTTCCAAACCGTTGATTGTTGTTTGGTTTCAGGATCGAAATGGTAGATTTAGGTCTCGCATGAGCAATGGGTCACGAAACGTAACACAAAAAAACTGATCTGCTTGGAACCTTTCGAGATTCACCCTCGAAATGTCGCCTAATTGTTTCTTTAACCGACGAGGTTAACATTCTCGGTACCTAACGGGCAGATACCCTTTTCATATGCAATTCGTTCGCAAGGATTCTTTGAAAACTGCCATATGAGATACCTGTGACCTCAGCTATATGACTAATGGCCACTTCGATCTGCCAATATACGACATCTTCGACTCTTTTCACGTTATCTTCAGTGAGGGATGTGGATGGGAGTTCATCTTTCGTGGATGTTCAGCCCAGCGAAGCAAGCAAAATTTTTTTTCGGATTTTTATGTGCACTGGAAATAACCTATTATCATTACTTTTGGATCACCTCTCGTATTTAGGAATACGATTTTTCATTAAGGTACCGGTTCCATGTATGTTTCTCTCTACTGTTTTCCAGTAGAGGAATAAATGTGGAATAGCGGTTTCTTTTTGAGTTTCATGACCTCATGCAAGTATTGTCAAGAGTTGTAGACTAATGATATACTATTCCTTATGAATCTGACTATAATATACAAAAAGATTTTTTCAAATCGGACTGGTAGTTCCAGAGATTGGCGTGTTTAAACAAACAAAAAACAAAAAAACCCTTCCACTTTATTATATTAGTATAGATTAACTTTGTAAGTTATAATGCAGTTGTTGTGTTATGTTCATGTTATTTTTATGTTTATGTCATGTTCTCTTAGCCTTAGGTGTCGTTCCAAGCTCATGGAAGACAGTCTTAGTGCATTCTATTCCTAACAAAGGCTGGGACCTATCCAAATACAGGTCTATCGCCGTCACCTCCTTGTTCTCAAAAATAATGGAATCCATTATTAACTGCCAGCTCACGCGTCACGCGGTACCTTGAAGAGCATAAGCTGATTAGTGACCTTCAATACGGTTTCCCTCGAAGCTGTTAGGATCGATAGGACGGAAACGGCGTGTATGTATGTTTGTATACATACATACAATTAACTATTTTATGGGTGTCAGTGAAGAAAGGACCTGGGTTGCCAAAGCCATCACATTTTTCTGGCAAACCCGTAGTCGCCTCTTACGAAACTCACGGGATAAAATGTGATGATGAATTCTCTTATCCCTCACTTACACACCAATTTCGACTGTACTGTGTGTATAACAATAATTCAGTGTGGAGTTCGTAACATCGACTACTAAATGAATGTAATTGTAACATGGTCAGAAGAATCATTCTTTCTCTCCAAAAATGAATATGAGAGACATTAATTCCTAGCAATTTTCTCTATTTCTCCCTGGGTTAACTAACAGAATGCCATAAGGCATAAACTCCGCCCATTGTGAACTGTTTAAGGTGTCTTGCAATAAAGATGCAATAATTTAAATAAATAAAAAGTTTAACTTCGACAAATAATTTTTCAGAAACTTCTGAGAAGATTAAATCAAATTCTACTGATTGTAACATAAACGATGTTCGTGAAAAAAACCTCGATTTAGAAGAGCCTACTACTCGTATTAAATCAAACCCTAAAATTAAAAAAGATAATCAACCAATTAATAAAAAAGGAAAGCATCCTGCAAAGATAATGAAAACGAAAATTTTGAAACAAAAGAATGTAAATATACTTAAGAAAAAAACATCTGGGACATCAAATAAATACATTTTTGAATGTGATGGTTGTAGTAAAAAAATTTCAACAAAAGAAATTCTCGCCAAACACATTTCATACAGTCATAAGTCGCAAAACAACTCAGACACCACTGCAGTTGGGACACAAGTTGAACAAATTCCAGTACCACAACTAAAAGAAATATTTAATTGTGATATTTGCGAATTTAAATCATCTCAAAAACGTTGTTACATTTTGGCACATCTTAAAGCGCACGTCGCTAAACAAATGTACTGTTGTAATAATTGTGAATATAAATGTATTAAGAAAAGTAAGTTGCAAACACATATGAAAATACACACCGGTGAAAAACCTTTTTCGTGTAATATCTGTGAATATAGATGTATTAGAAAAAGTAATTTGCAAGCACATAATATGAAAATACACACCGGTGAAAAACATTTTTCGCTTAATATCTGTAAACATAGATTTATTAGTAAATGTGATTTGAAAAGACATATGGAAATACATACTGGAGAAAGACCTCTTTCGTGTAATATCTGTGAATACAGATGTATTAAAACAAGTAATTTGCAAACACATATAAAACTACACACCGGAGAAAAACCTTTTTCGTGTAATATCTGTGAATATAGTTTTATTACAAAAAGTCGTTTGCAAACACATGAAAATACATACCGGAGAAAAACCTTTTTCGTGTAATATCTGTGAATTTAGATGTAATAGAAAATGACATTTGCAAACACATATAAAAATACACACCGGTGAAAAACCTTTTTCGTGTAATATCTGTGAATTTAGATGTAATAGAAAATGACATTTCCAAAGACATATGAAAATACACACTGGTGAAAAACGTTTCTCGTGTAATATCTGTGAATACAGATGTATTACAAGAAGTAATTTGCAAACACATATAAAAACACACACTGGAGCAAAACCTTTTTCGTGAGCTGTCTGGCAAAATGTTTACAATATTGAGTAAACGTGTTTTATATAAATATGTTTGTACCAGATAAAAATCAATTTTTTGTGAATTTGTGATGTAATTACATAACGAGTAGAAAAACCTTTCCGTGTTATTATCAATGGTAAAAGTTCTTCCGGCTCACCTGTACTAATGGGTGTCCCTCAGGGCTCGATTCTCGGCCCATTCCTATTTCTAGTGTATATTAATGACTTACCTTCTCTTGTAGAGGATAATCATGATATAGTATTATTTGCTGATGATACTTCCTTGATTTTTAAACTTAAACGTCAATCGTTTAAATGTGACGAGGTGAATAATGCTATATCAAAATTAGTACATTGGTTTAACGTTAATAATCTACATTTAAACGGAAATAAAACTAAATGTATTAAATTTACAACAACGAATGTTAAAAAACTGAGTACCAATGTGTTTTTAAATGGGGAAGAACTGAGCCCTGTTGAATCCACTGTTTTTCTTGGCATCTCTCTCGACGCAAAGCTTCAGTGGGGCCTCCATATATCCTCCATATAAACTAGCAAGCAGACTAAGTTCTGCAGCCTATGCTGTAAAAAAGATTAGAGGTCTCACTAGTATCGAGACAGGTAGATTTTTAGAAGCTTTTACAAAAATTTACTTCGCAAATATCCGCGTTATAAAATAAAATGATGTGTCTTACCTAGTATGAAGAAGCACCTCCCGCCCTCCCTCAATTGCGTGCACTATCCCCGTCACCACTAATCCCAGCACCGCTACTTCCAACACCACTACACTAGGCAAGACACACCACTGACGATAATACGACACGTGTTTCGCCTCTACACGAGGCATCCTCAGGTGATATAGACTCTACGGTGGCTAACCGCTAAGTTCACTTCGCGGTTAAGAGTATAGTAATATATAGAACAAACTACACCAACTATGCACTGTGCATCCACGGCTGGTAATCTTTGAGCAAAAATCTTTGACCGTATGAAATGCAGTCAGCAATTCAGAACATGACGTTTCCCTCGTCCCTCCCACCTCCGGCCCTTTCTCGCTGCCGCCATTTTGTCATGTTATTGTCGCGTAACTGTCAAGTTAGAAGTTTTCTTGGAAATTTTTATTTTGTTTTTCTATGAAGTATGAACTAACTATAAATTATAAATAAAGTTTTATTGGCATTTTACTGCTATTTTACTAAAGATTGTTTATTGTTTAATAGGTTATATATTTCGACGGGACGTTTTCTTTAGCTTTAGTGTATTTTGTATATAATTTTTAGTTTCAAAATCTATTTTTAAGTGTTTCATTCCCAGTTGTGCAAATAACAGAGAAGAGTCTGACGAAGGCCAAAGAAACAAGTGGTTGGACTTTATAAACTGTGACAAACTTAAAAGTACGCTGCATTCCAGTAACCTTTTCAAGAAGCCTGCTTGGTCACAAAATTTTTGAATAAAGTGTTTCATACTGCTAAATCTGACATTAATAAGGCTAAAAAAGGTTGGATAAACTCAACACTATTCTTTGGAGTAAATTGAGTTAGGTTTATCATCAAAAATGACAAAGGTATGTACATTTAATTATTCTTTAATAAACATAACTGCTCAGTATATTCAGTATTCATATAAAATTTAAAAAATTATAATAAAGATGTACGGACATACTGTACATTGAATAAAACTACTTAATTCCTGGCATTTCAAGTGATCTCTTTGATAACAACTTAGTAATAATAATAAACTGGTTGCCAACTTGTCTGCCAAGTGTTACAACTAATGAAAATGTACACCTTATACGATAACCTATGAAGGCCTATGTTTACCAGTAGCTTTATGATAGTCTGCAATAAATGAATGATGAATTAAACATAATAAATTATTTATATAATAAATAATTTATTAAAATTTTAAGTTGATAGCTGAGTTAAATGAGGAATTATTTAAATAATTAATTGTCAACATTATTTTATGCACAATTGCACACAAATTACAAAATCAAGGCTGTCTGAATGACAATAACAAACAATCTTTTATGTTTTTATTTCAGATGATACAGTCCAAATAATCTAGTGTGATATTTGATCAGCCATTATAAAAAAGGTATAAGGAATAATGTTGCTATCAATACACATAATAATTGATGGAAATGTATCAAAATGGCAAGATGATGTGTACTAAACAGACTGCAAGCATACTCGATTGCGCTTGTTAGATAAACTAAATGATGAACATGTGATTTCCAACGAAGTAAAAAAATTAAGGTAATAATCATGTAAAATTTAAATTGCAAAACAATCGCCATTCTAAAACTTTAGTTCAGATAATATTTTTGTTGGGATTAGTAATATGTTTATATTTTTGAGCAAATCTGATCTCTGTCCACACCACTGAAATAAATGAATTAATGTTAATTCCAATTTTAAGTGCAAATTTATCATGTTCTGGAATATTGTGACGAAATCTGTGTGTCTAAGGAATAAAAATATTTATAGATGTGGTCACCGGCTCCGTGCCGTAGTGGCTTAGCAATGAGTTGCAACGCTTGGGGCCGCGGGTTGGAATCCCGCACGGAACGTGTATTTGTACGGCCTACATATAATTGTTCCGGGTCTGGATCTTTGTGCTTGTGCATTATATGTTTGTAAACTGCCTCCACAATACAGGAGAAAATCCTAGTGTGGGGTAACGTTTTTTTTTAAAAAGCACCTTGCCCAACTTTTTGTTTCATACCCCTCTGAGAAATGACACAGAGTCTGTGCCCCGCAGTAGAACATGAACATAGACTCCAATAGATAATTGGCTACTTTACAAATACTTTTATCCTCCCAACCTTCTATCAAAAATCAATGTACTTAATTATCTTAGGTGTTAATGATAATTATGTTCAAAAATTATTGGAAATTTCTGTATAATTGTGAAAGCTTCTTAGATTTATGTGAAAGTAACTTTATCTGATTACAATGGCCTCTTCTTGTCTTGACATTTTCTATGCAAACATTTATAAACAACAACAATTACAATTAGCGCAGATATTCACACTTGTAATTTACATATTTAAATATTGATTTTTCCAGCTCAATACACTAGATTTCGAATGTATTGAAGAGAACCTTTCCACTGAAAATATTCAAGTGCAAGCAGCAAGAGAGCAATTATATGTTTACTGTATAGCATATACCACAGATGGGATTCTGAAAGGCACGGACATCATTAGAATCGAAAAGTGTACATTGCCACCAATGCAAAAAAAGCCTTTAAACGAGTTTAAAAAAGTTAAAAAATAAATCATATAATAAATAATATATAGAATGCATTTTATTTCTACGAATCCTCCGTCTTCATAATAAAATAATAATAAAATAGTAATTAAAAATATATATATATAAAAATAATATATAGGTGATATATATATATATATATATATATATATATATATATATATATATATATATATATATATATATATATATATATATATATGTATATATTATACTAGGCTGAAATAAAATTATACCTTTGCCTATATCCAATTCATATTTTTAAAAAAAAACGAAATGTCCTGTTCTAATTTGCTGTACGGTCCAAACTAAGCATGGGCGTTTTCAGATTTTGGCTGCAACGGTTACATAACTGATATTTAGTTTTCATATCGTTATTGAAAATCGTTTCCAAATATCGATATCAGTAGTAATGGTTTACAACCGAAACATAACCTGAAATCAGGGGTAGGAAAGTCCTTAGTAGCTTGCTTTACGTTGATACTAGTGCCATCTCACAGCAAAAGCAATTCACACCGTGGTTTTCTCAGCCAAACATAATAAATATTTACTTAAAACAAAAAACAAATTAGTTAATATTTAAATTTAATTGATTTCCTTTTAATTTTATGGAAATATGTACAAAATAATACTGAACCTAGATGATAGCGCCCTCTAGTATAATTTTCAGTAATTTATAATCCCTGCGCCATCTATAAAAACGCAGAACAAACTTTCCTCGTTTCGTCACCTAATTATTTTTCAGAGTGGCTCATCTATGCCTGAAAACTGTAGAATGAGTGCAACATTTATTTTACGAATTACTTCGATTATTTTAGTTTAGAAGTCAGAGTCTCTAATATAATCTTAGATGTAATATTTAGACATGTATGTTAATATATAATTTATAATTGTTATGCAGTAATATAGTATTATAAATGTCTAAAATTACATTCTTTCTATTCTCATTTATGTCTATAATGTTTATACCCATATTTTTTTAAAGTGAGACGTAGGATCAGAGTTTGATTTCGAAGTCTATAATTAAACTGTATTCATAAGTAGTAAACATAATTTATATATATATATATATATATATATATATATATATATATATATATATATATATATATTTAGAAAATTATTATAGGTACATAGTTTATTTATTATTATTATATTAATAATCATTGTTTTTTTATAATGATTATTTAAGTTGGCGATTTACCTTCATATACTTAACTAGGCTTAGGACTGACAGGAAAGTTTTAAAACAAATGTATAAATTGCAAACAAATATTACAAATAAATGTACAAACGCAACCTAAAAAATTAATAATTTTACAGATAGTTTCATAGTGAACGGCACACGCCACCATTTCATGTATATACAATGTACTCTGTGCACGCCACCAATGTCAAGTGCGTAATTGTTACGTTTGAAAAAAAAAATCAAATTCGAACTTTCACATAAACAAAAGTTGCCTAAACGAAATA